TTAGACCACTTAAAATAAAAGACCCAATCAAGAAGTGGGCAGTGAAATGAAGAGGCACTTCAGAGAGGAAGAAATACAAATGGCCAACAAATACAGGAAAAGGCATTCAACATCTCTGGCTTCTAGAGAAACGCAAATTAAAACAATGCTAAGATTCTACCTCACTTCAGAAAGAATGGCAATCATCAAGAAATCAAAAAAATAACAAATTCTGGTGAGGTTGGGGTGAAAAAGGAACGCTTCTACATTGTTGGTATGTATGTAAAACAAGTGCAACCATTATGGAAATCAGTATGGAGATTTCTTAAAGAACTGAAATTAGAAATTTCATATGACCTAGTGATCCTTATGCTAGGTATCTTCCCCAAAGAGCACAAAACATCATACTGCAGGCATACATGCATACCAATGTTTACAGCAGCACAGCTTGCTTTTTTTGGGGGGTGGGGGGCTCTATGCAGCCCAGGCTAGCCTCGAATTCACAGCAATTCTCCCACCTCAACTACCTGAGTACTGGGATTACAGATGTGTGCCACCACACCTGGCATAGCAGCACAATTTGTAACAGCTAAATCCTGGAAGAGCCTGTATATCCATCAATAGATGACTGGATAAAGAAATTGTGGTAGCTAGATATATAATAGCATACTACTCAGCTATAAAGACTGATAAATTTGAGACATTTGTAGGAAAATCGATACACCTGGAAAGTATAATGTTGAGTAAAATAAACCAGACACAAGGCCTAAATACCACATGGTGTCTCTCACAAACAAAGAGAACAATAGAGAATGGACAGAAGGATACAAGGGAATGGCTTTCTTGCAAATAGTAAGGGATCCAAGAGACCAAGGCGGAGAGGGAGAAATAAGTAGAATAAAGATCTGCTAGGTCCAGGGATTTAGCTCAGTGGTGTTACGCCTGCCTCGCAAGCACAAGGTCTTGAGTTCGATCCCTGGTGGTGGTGGGGATCTGCCATGTACAGGAACCTGATAACCTCAATAAATGTAAACATTATATTCCATAAACAAGATCTGAGATTAGTAAGATCAATAAAAATGAAAATGGGGAAAGTTGAATTAGAGGAGGGAGAGAAGGAGGGAGAAAAGAAGAGGGAGGGAGTGGGAGGGAAGGAGAAGAGAATTTTTTAAAAGGAAGCAAGTTGTATTATGTACATGTGCCCACTCCTCAAGATGATAGTAAAATGCATGTATTGCAAACATGTATTACTATAAAATTCTTTTCAAAAATACAATAGGTAGAACACTTGAAGTTACACATAGTTATAGAGAAGGAATTCCTAAAAACAACTGCAATTGCACAAGAAATAACAGCAGAAATCAGCAAATGGGATTATATCAAATTAAAAACCTTCTGCACAGTAAAGACATCAATAGAGTGAAGAGATAATGTATAGATTGGGAAAAAATTTTGACAGCTACTCTCCAGAGGACTAATATCCCGAATGTATAAAGAACTCAAAAAATTAGACCACCTAAAATAAAAGACCCAATCAAGAAATGGTTAAGTGAAATGAACAGATACTTCAGAGAGGAAGAAGTATAAACAGTGGTCAAATGTAGAAAAAAATGCTTGACATATCTTGGGATTAGAGAAATACAAAACACTAAGATTCTATCTTACACCTGAAAAAAATGGCAATCAACAAGAAGTCAAAAAATAACAAATGCTGGTGTGGCTGTGGTAAAAAAAGGAACCCTCCAACACTATTGGTGGGAATGTAAACTAATACAACCACTGTGGAAATCATTATGAAAATTCCTCAAAGAACAAATGTTAGAAATCCTATATGACCCAGCTAACCCCCTCTAGGTATCTTTCCCAAAGAGCTAAAGACATCATGCTACAGCAATATATGCAAACCAATGGTTATAGCAGCACAATTCAAAATAGCTAACCCCATGAATCAGTATGCATATCCATCAACAGATGATTGGATAAAGAAAATGTGGTGTCTATACATTATGGAATACTACTCAGTTATACAGAAAGAAACATTTGAGACATTTGTTGGAAAATGGATGCACCTGAAAAATAAAATACAGAGCTAAATAAATCTGACACACAAGCTTAAATACCACATAGTAGCTCTCATTTTGAGTAAGGCAAAGTACAAACAAAAAGCACAATAAAGGATGGATAGAAGGGGACAAGAGGATAGATCCCTTGCAGATAGAAAGTGGTCCTGGATACTAAGGAGAGAAGAGGGGAAGGGAAAGGTGAAATAAATAAAATAAAGACATGCCATGTATATGAAGCTAATGACCTCAATGAATGTAAACATTCGGTCACAAACACGAAATATGATGAATAATATCAAATAGAACAAAAAATGGGAAAGGGGATTTAGAGGAGGATGGAGGGAGGTGGGAGTGAAAGGGATTAAAAAAGAATCAAGCTGTATTATGCACATGTACCTGCTCCACAAGATGATTGCAAACTTCCTGTAACATAAACGTGTACTAATAAGTATATAATATGTCCAAATGTGTGTAGACTGCCAAATGATTCCCAAATCCTGTCTAGTTAGCATATCTATCACCTAACACAGTTACCTTCTGAGTATGTAGTGAATGTACTAGAAGATATTTTGCAATTTCAAATAAAATTGGAGAAGATGATCTGAATGTCAAGAGAATAAAGTACAGACTCAGATTTGATGACGTACAAGGCTAGGAATTCTTTAAATTATATATTTAGGGCTGGGGATGTAGCTCAGCAGCACCACGCCTGCCTGGCAAGCTCAAGGTCCTAAGTTTAGTTCCTGGTATTGCAAAAAACAAAACCAAAAAATTATATACTTAATACAACTATATTTATAATACCAGTAAAACAACTAAATTTAACAAATATCTACTAGAATCTCTTGAAAAAAAAAAGTACAGTGTTATATTTATTAAATCTCCAATAAAAAAGTAAAGGAGAAAGAGATATCCTTTCCCATTATTTGGAACATGCTATATAGTTGTAGTCATTTAAACCTGAAACTCAGCCAACCTGTAGACATATTAATTATAAAAAGTACCAAGAAATACATTTGCTTTAAACAAACACATTTGATAAGGCTGGCAGTACAAATCAAGTGTAAAATGTGATTCATCACTCCTTTATGGTGATAAATTGGTCATTTTATATGGGAAGTGAATCTGATTTTTGCATCACAAACACTCAAATGTGCACTACTGGCAGATTTGAAAAATACATAAAATATAAAAGTAAAATATGGGAAAAAGCACCATATAAGGGCCAGGGATTTAGCTCAGTGGTTCCACTGCCTGCCTCGCAAGCACAAGGACCCAAGTTTGATCCTTGGTATCAAAAAAAAAAAAAAAAGCACCGTATAAGAAAAGAAAATATAGGGCAGGTATGGTGATGGACACTTGTAACCCAACACTTGGGAGGCTGAGGCAAGAGGATTGCCATGAATTTGAGGCCAGCTTGAAGTATATAGTGAGACCTTGTCTCATAAAACTGAAATAAAATCTAGGAGTGAGGAAATCTTTAGAAATAAAATTGTAAAAAAAGAAAGAAAGAAAGAAAGAAAGAAAGAAAGAAAGAAAGAAAGAAAGAAAGAAAATTGTAAAGCCACAAATGTTAAACTGACTTTGAAGATACAAAAATAACTTAGTATTTCTGTTCAGGAAAGAAAATATAAAATTAACATGCAGATGGAAAAATTATGAGAAGGAATGTTGATACTCTACAAGTGACAAAGAAATAGCTAGAACAAAAAGATTTTATCAAAAATAATTCCTCATCACAAATATGAGAATATGATATAAGTAGACATTTTATAAAAAGTTTTACATAGGAAATGAAAAAAAAAAGAATGCATGAAATGGACGCATAAGACAGAAAAATGTGAAAAGACAAATTTCTCTATAAATCCATGGAACTCGTCAAATTAGAATTAGCCTAATATTAGTCAGCTATGAGAAATAGGAACTATTGCCCCCTGGTGTTGGTAGTGTGGATGATGGACATTCAGATTTAAAGAGATACATACTCTGTGCATGAGTAAATAGGATCCTGAGCCCTGAGCATCTATGGTATTTTCTCAAATCTGCTTCTAGGGCACCAAATGAATGTGCCTTGTGGCATATACACCTCACCAGAACTAGAGAAGCCTGCTTTCCCGTAACTGTGGAAAGCCAATTAAGGTATTCTGGAGACAAACAATGGAGACCCTGTCAGGAGTTACATGTACAGCAATCCAAATAAATCTGGAAAATAATATTGAGTGAATCAAGTAAAATACAGGACGAACTCTCTAACATACTCCCATTTGGGCACACTAAACATATATGTACATGAGATTGATGTGTAGCTTAGTGGTAGAGCACATGTAAAGTACACATCAGTCTATAAGGTCTATAGCCAGCATGTACATGAAGCTATGGTGCATGACCCAGAAGTGATGAGCAGGGTTACAAGTGTAGAAAGAAGACACATCTGCAACAGGATTGTCAAGCACAGCACTAGTGATATTTGGGTCCAATATTTCATTCTTTTAAGGGCTGTCCTGTGTGTTATATGACACTGATCAACATCCTTGACCTCTACCCATGCTTCAAATCTTGCTCATGCTCTGCACTATGATTATAACAAAAAAAAGTTGAGATACATTCACAAATTTCCAGATGTGCACAATCACCAGTGCCCAAAAATCACCAACTTAGCAGGTGCAGCATGGACACATAAGCTCCTGAATGACAAGGTACCCAGAATGGGCAAAGACCACAAGTGTTGCCAAAATTCTCTGCACCTCAAACCAAAGCAGAATGAATGACATCACCCCAAGTACTCTGTCCTTGCCCACTCCTCTTGTCCCCACCACCGGCACCACTTTTAGATGTCGCTAGTGCAAAAAGCCAGAACAGGCTCTGCTGCTTGATGGTCTATGATGACACCCACTGGGAGACAGGAGGACAGACTAAGGGTGCCTCGAACTGAAGCTCTGTGCTTTATCCCAACCGCACCTTTCTCGATGAACCATTTCCATGGTCTTCTCCAGGATGCCAACATGGAAGTTCTGTCCTCAGTTTGGGGAACCCAGAAGACACTTAGGGGTATTTCAGGAAATGCAGTCTCTGGTCACTTATGGAACACATAACAAAGGTTCATGGTCATCTCTTTCCCTAGAGAGATAAAAATCACTACAAAAGGGAAACAGTCTTGGAAGCAAAAGTGCTGGACAGCACTTCAGCCCACGAAGGTGATAGAAGAGGAAGTGGGATTATAGGAGTGAACAACCCAGTATAGAAAGGCAGATGTTGACCCAAGTTTAAAGCAGCTAGAGGGTTTCCCAGAGTCAGCATAGATTGGAACTAGGAATGGAAGTGTTTTCTCCTTAGCCTTGCACATGCTTGGTGTCTTGTGTTCAAACTACTCAGTCCCGTATCTTCACTGAAAAGTTCAATCCTATTCCCTTGTTATGGTAATGTAAGCCAGAGTATGACCAGATTTGGGGACCTCTTTATAATACCAAACTACAACAACAAAAAGCCAAAGTAAAACAAGCCCACATACAAACCCAAAACACCCCAGAGTAGTCTTCCCTTTTCAGAACAGTCCTCATACACTCTCCTGGCTGGGCTGCTCTGGAGAAGCTGATTAATATGGTATTCAAAACAAGAAACAATCTGATGAATGTTACATACTGAAAAGGACTTTAAGAGTTGAAGGAATGAGTCTGCAGATGCTACTTGAGTTTGAAAGGGAAAAGATCATGGTCAACCCAAAGGAAGTTGAAAATAAAATGTATTGAAAATGCACAGAACATACCCGATCTATCAAACATCATTGTCAAGCCTTGGCTCTTTTAAACCCATTCAACACATTTGCCTTGATCTGTGTTTGGGGAAATACACATAACACCACACAAAATTCATAATAAAATACTAAATATCTCATGAATTTTATCAAATACAGTACACTGTAAATCATTGGCTCTTCACCCTTGGTCTCCAGTTGCCGCCAGAGCAGTGATTCATTACTGCTGTCTACCATCATGAGCAAGTATTTTACCATACAACACTAGTAAGAAAAGTAAATAAATTAGAAAACTGAAAGATTTCCAATAAATAATTTTTCTTTTTTGCTTCAATACTAAAGATTTAACTTAGGGCCTCAGGCATGTTAGATGAATTAGATTGGGGGTACATTCCAACATTTATTTCATATTGAAACAGGATCTTGTTCAATTGTCCAGGCTGGGCTTGATGCTGCAATACTCCTGTTTCAGTCTCCCACGTGGCTGGAATTAATGGTGTGCACCACCATGCCTCACTGTTGTTTATTTTACCCAACCACTGAAATCTTGGTAGATCATGGTGATTAGAGAAACCCAACCTTGAACTGGCAAAATGTCACATGCCTGTCATCCTAACAGTCAAGGAGGTGGAAACAGTATCAAAAGTTCTCCCTTGGGGCCGGGGATTTAGCTCAGTGGTCCTGGTGCCTGGCTCGTGAGTGCAAGGTCCCAAGTTCGATCCCCAGTACTACCCCCCCAAAGAAGTTCTCCCCAGCCTGGGCAACTTAGTAAGACCAGGTCTCAAACGTTTTTTTTAAATGGGTGGGCGGACAGGTGTGGCTTGGAGCAGACTTCCTGAGCTCAGTCCCTGTACAATAAAAAACATCAAACACATCTTGAAATCTTTTGTATCTGAGAGAAAACCCTTCCAATTGTACTTCAATGATGATGCCCACCCTGTTTCTAAACCTACAAGATCAATTTCCTAATTTCGCCTCACAAATAATTAGGCGAACCGATCAGTAGTAACAGAAGACATATTTTTTTTGGTACCGGAGATCGAACTCGGGTGCTTCTGCTTGCGCAGGAGGTGGCGAAACCACTGAGCTAAATCCCCGGCCCTCAGAAGACATATTTATAGTATCTGTTACTAAGTCCCCCTCCTTTCTTTAGGCCTGTGACCTATGACCCACTCAAGGGCCAAGGCAGCACACAATCCTTCAATTATTGTCATACTAAGAACAATCTGACTTCAGGGGAGGAGTTCACAGTTGTAGTTGCTGATTTCACCTTCCTCCAACAAGCCCTGCTCTCCCTTTTCCTTTTTACTCCCTTTTGCTCCTCCCTAGTCAAAAAACCCTTTTATTCCTATGCCTTCATGTGCCTGTAGACCTTACCTATGGGGATTTACCTCTATTTCAGTGCTTTATAGGAAGTCCACTTCAGTCCGTATTTCACATTTAAAACAATGTGTAGAAACAGTCCAAGAACTACAGCAATTATTTCACAGGTGAGAGCCACCTTTCCCTGTCCACTACTACCTATATCACATGTCTAATTCAATGTGTTTCTCAGTTTGGGTTTAACAGGCAGCCCTTTCAGAAAGTTGTACTTAGCAAAAACCCTTTCGCCTTCCTTGGCAATACATTAACATTCCCTCCATTTTTCTCAGCATTCTAAACTCTCTGGGACTCCTCATTTAAATAGTCTAATTATAAAGAGTATGTTATTTACTTTATGAGTAAGGCACCGAGCTACGGAAAATGGCCTGAGATAAGAGTTGGGATAAGCCATAAGGATGAGAATTAAAATAAGAATAGTGAACCAAAGACAGTGGACCAAGAATGAACTTCCTCAGGCAATGGAATGCAGGAATTCCAGGAACTTAAAGTGCAAAATAACCAGTTTTTCTTTAAAATCCCAGTTTTCTATAAAACTTACATGGTAAGAAAACGGGTTTCAGAGCCTGAGTTCCAAGTGGTCACTTTAAATACAGAGTCACCTGTGACAGGTGGCCATTAAACAATTGAGCAGTTACTGTGCTCTGATTATCTATAATTAGATCTGGATTGAGCAGCCCCATGGCTACTCAGAATGCTTCCAAGGACTCTGCGAGCTATTATTATTTCCAATAAAAATTATCCTAATATCCTCTTTTTAATTCATGACCTCATTCCACAACCTTGTGAGACCACGAGCTCTGTTCTTTATCGTTGTGAGTAGGGGTCTGACATAAATAATTAAGGTGATAATTTTGCGGGTAGCTGAGTATGGCACGCAGGATTTCATTGCATGCTTGGAAAACACTCCGCCTCAATGTTAAACCTCTTTGGATTCTTATAGCCCATATCAACACATATCATGACTTTGACAATATGGGGAAATAGTGGAAATTTGGGAATTCACTGTGACTAAAAAGGCAGAGGTCTGAGGAGATGAGTTATGGGTATGAGACCCTGCATCACCAACATTTATAAATGTCAGGTCCTCCGGGTCTGCTACTAAAAGGAAGGAGACCAGGGACCTAGCACATCACAGCTGCACCCAGCTCCACAATCCATACCTGAAACAGGGTCTCCCCTACTGGCCCCCGGGTTCTCCCCTGACTGGTGTAGACGAGGCTGTGCCTGGAGCCACCCGAGTCAGCACGGTGGGCTCAGACTATCACAGTGGAGACAGGATGCAGGGAACCCGGGACTAACTCTGACCCAGCACAGGGACAAAGGGACAAGAGCACCAAAAAACCAGGAGACCCTCAGGGACTGGAGCTAAGCAGCGAGGCTGTAGTCCCCGTAGCTGGCTCTGGCCCCTTCCTTTCAGACCTCGTCCCGATTCCATCCCGTCCCGGCTTCGGTCCCACAACATCACCATTGCATGGCTTCAGGCTCTCCCCGAGTCCTTCCCAGGCAGCGTGCGGCCAGCTGAAGTCACAGAAGGCGGCCCCGCAAGCTGAGGGCTCTCAGCAACAGCGCAGGGCGCTCGCTTCAGCGCCAAGACCCGGGAAGGATCCTCCCACGTTGGCCCGCCTGATTGGGCAGTTCGTACAGCCCGCCTCCTTGTCGCTGATTGGCTCCTGCTCCGTTGCCCTCCCTCTGAGCCAAGAGTGAGGAGAGAAAATAAGCTGCGTGCACGGATAGAGCTCAAAGGATAGGTTGTAACCCAGGAACTTCTGGACCAGGCTCATTCCCAAGATGTCAACTTAACGTCGGCTAACAATAATTGTATTTAAGCATTTTACTCCTCGCTTTTCAGAGCTGCCCCTGTTTTCTTAATGGACTTAGTGTGCACGTCCTGAAAATGGGGTCTGAAGAATCAATACTCTGATGTCAGGAACCATCATGAGTGTAGGCCAGGCCAGGCAAAATGGAATGAATAGGGGGTTGGCTGTTTGACAGGTCAATATTTGAGAATGAGTCAGCAGGCTTCATAGTCACGATTTTCACACTATCTTTTTGAATCTGTTCATGTTCAGTCAAGAAAATGGAACACAATAATTGTGTAAATGAAGAAATTATAGTTAAATGATAACAATATTGTCCAAAAGAGTAAAGATGAAAGAAAAGCAAACATTCCAACTCCCTCAGACAAGCTTCGTACTTCACCCGTTTAACCACCTGTACTTTTGAGATCTTACAAACCAAATGTAAAAGTTAAATGACACAAAAGAAATCTTTTCCATGATCATTTTATGATCTTTATCAGTCCCTACTTTTTTTTTGAGGAGTTACAGTCCCAGAACCATAGACAAAAATTGCATACAGGAGAGAAAAAGAGTATTTAAAAGACAGTTCAAGAGGTCATCAAAGGAAATGCGTAGAATCTGCACAATGTGATGACAAGTTTCAACCTCAGAGTCAGCCCAGTGCAATATACTTCCAAATGCAATTCCATCCCCTCTTCCCATTCTTTTCCAAATGTGGACGTGGGTTTCAACATGGCCATGACTCTTCACCTACCTCTTATATTTAACTGCTTTCAAGCCCAATCCATAAGGAGTTTTATATTCTTGAAATAACACACCTTGGCCTTATCATTTTTTACCTTTATGCAACACTTCACTCTTTGGTGTAGTTTTATATTCATTGATCTCCTTTGTCAAAATCAACAAAACCTATGAAATTTTATGGGAAATTTTTAATTTCTGTTGCCCTTCTGCATGTTTATGGTTTGGTTTTAAATATATATGCTGAATATCAAAATTATTCTTCTAACAACAATGTCAAAGTATCAAGCCTGCATGCAATGCCCTGTAATCATACACACAGGAAGTGTGTCCTTCCAACATGCAGGACCTTGTCTGAACATTAAATTCCTTAATTATCATAAGGACCTTCTGAGGTACATTTTGATTGGCCCTGGTTTTCTTGATGAAGCAGCTGAAGATGGAGAATTTGAATAATGTTCCAAGTCCTCATAGCTAGTGGTAGACTGAAATGTATGTTAGTCTCCAAATAGTCTTTGCAGTGGGCTCTACTACACATGGAGATTTAATTGTTTAATTTATTAACCCTTCTAAATGGTTTCTGTGCACTCAACTTCAATCTGTTAACATGTTCCCACTCCCAACATGGTTGCTTTCTTAGACATCTTGAATGGGAAAAATTGCTTTCTTACTCAGCTCAAGAAAATGAGTTCTCTAGTTAATTATCGATTCCTACGTCAGAATGTCACACATAGAAAAATCAGTAAAGAAAGAAAATTATTCCTTACAAATTTTGAGGCTGGAAAGTCTAAGGGTATGGCACAAAAATCTAGTAAAACACTTTGTGCTGCATGACACGTTATTGAATGCCAAGTAACAAGTGAGTACTGTTTATATAGGAAGGTTGCTTCACTCATAAGTCCCCCACTTTCATATTAATAACATCATTCCATTCATTAAAGCAAAACAATATGCCCATCACCTTATAAGGATCCCTTATCTCAACTCTGTATCATGAGATAATCAGTTCCAGCAATATGAAGTTTAGAGGGTATGTTGAATCTCACACTGTATTACTGTTTTGAAATCTGACTTCAGCCAGAAGGAAGTCCACAGTACATAAACGTCTACACTTACCTTTGAATCTTCATGCCCCTAGACACAGAAACCTCAGTGCCAGTCTCCATTTATTGTTTTATTGTAGGCGACCTAAGTAGGATCTAATCTTTTCTTATGCATCACATGTATGTATTTAATATAAATGTTTCTCATTACATCATACAAAAAACCCAACATTCATAATAATGATAAAATTGTTGCATGAACAACCTAAGGACATCTGGGTAGAAGTGTTTTACTCATTATTAAAGTCTTGCCTAGTGAGTGACTCTGCAGAGCTTTACAAATTCTGAAGTGCACTTTCAAGGGTGTAAATAGAATGCAATACCAGCTTTGTTTATTGTGGCCCCTTTAATGAGACTTTGGTAGACATAACTTTTTATACAATAATACTTCAGGAAGAGTAGTATCATGTAAAGCATACCTGGGAAGACAAGGACTGAACTCGATTCTATGACCCTTACCATGTCTCTCAGGACTCTTTTCACTGAGCCATTTGTCTGTAATTCCACTCTCCTCTGTCCCTTTTTGATCTTTCTTGGGCTGAGTTCCCTTGAATCTCTTGAATCTCCTCTGTGGCCTGGCCTTTCTCTTTCTCCATTTATTTATCAGCAAAAAATAATTTGTCGTTTGATTTTATTATGATCACAGTCTACTTCCACCTTCATTATGGACTCTTTTATGAGGTGCTTGATCTATGTTCATCTGCCTTTGCATTGAAATATTAAAAATAAAGAAATAATCTGGCTCATTTCTATCACTTATTAAAGCCTTCTCAGGTCCTAACACAGGGAGTATTGTAGAATAAATCATTGAGTGCCATATCCAAGGTAATAGGAATGCACAATACTGGGGAGATAAATGACTTCACTTGATAGAACAATGACACAGTGCATGCTACATGGCCTGTATGCAACCTTCCTAAATGTGTTCACATCCTGAATATTCTACAATGTGAAAACTGAGGTACAGCAAAAATGTCACTGTCCAAATGCACCAAGCTGTCTCAGATTCATGCTGATGTCCATAGATGAGGAGATTATGGCACACAGACAAGAAACCTCCCCCACAGCTCTGCCCAAGAAAAGGTGCTGTCAAAGAGGAGGCAAGGACTGTGTTTCTCTGTTAAGGCACCTGTGCCTGATCATTTCCTTTTAATGAGTCTCAGTTTTTCCTACTTCTATGTGACGTTGACCAAATGACTGCTATCAGATATGACATGATATTAGGTTCCTTTTTGGATTTTAAGTGTTCAAAGAACCAAGCTCCTGCTTTGGTCTGAAAAGATAAGGCATGTCACCATTGAGACCTGGGGAAGTTCTTTCTCTAGCCTAATGTCTGTCTCTTTTCATAGAAAGAGAAACCCAGGGAAAGCAACAAGAAATTGATTTTGAAGATTGTGTTTAGATTCTCTATCAATAACAAATCACTACATTCTGTTTTGCATGGGCAAAAAGACTTAGGTGTGTAAGATACTGTCCAATACCCACTTCCACTCCATACCTGAAGCTGAGCCCTTGGTGCTTTTGCTGTCTGGCCTCTGTGCACCTGAGTTATTAATAAAGTATAAGGTAATAGATCACTTTTTTATAGGCCAACAAGTTGCAATTCCCCCTCAGGCCTTTGACAGATTTTTGCTGATGTGAGGAAATATACATGAGGTATATTCTGTTTAGCCAAAAATCCATTAGTGCAGCAGTATAGAACTATCTGAAACTTAGGGAAATTGAAGAGAAATCCCCCTTATTCCACCTAGCATCTGCCATTAAACTGAATGGTGCTGAAACATGTTATGAGGCTTCCATAGGCATAAGAGAGAGATGTTTTTCAGAGTCTTACTGCTCCTTCATGGTCTACATTCTGACAATATATAATGATGCTCTTCATGCCCAGGATACCCACATGCTTTTGGTTAAAACTGCTTTCTTTAAAAAAAGAAAACTGCTTTCTTTGCCATCAATGTTGTTTTCAACATTGCTTGGGAAATTTCTTTGTGTAATTCAAGCTCTTCCAAATAAAATGCCACTTCTTTCATTGAAGTGCTTAGCTTCACACTCCCTTCTTTCATGTTCTCACAACATTTTGTCCTTTTAAATTTTCTCACATTGTCACTACTGTGAGTTTTATGTTCGTTTGATTCGGAAATATTGTACCTGCTGAGAGACAGCAATAACTAAGAACAAAGCTCATCTCTGCCCTTATTCTCAGGGCTTAGAGTGAGAAATTCTCTTAGATTGAGCATGAAAGCTTGGAGTAAAATGTGATAAGGTAAGCCAGGTGTCCATAGGTGTTCAGTGTAGGGATAAAGACCCATAGGCAGGGAAAGATGAGGGATCCCCCGCCCCTGAAGGAGATTTAGATGGGTGGCAGAACAGGCTTAACCACTCGTGAAAAGCTGACAGCCTGGGGTTACACTTCCTCTTTACACTGTACCCTGCAAAGCTTGGTTTGCTAAGATCAAGAAAAGAAAAAGAAGCTTGACCCTAAGATGTGAAAGCCCCAATGACCCTTCCCTAGTAATGAGCCATATCAACCAATTAGCCAATCAAGTAGGGGTGCCCTCAGCCCAGAGACAGGATAGGCCCCCAGCCACTATAAAATCAACCCCTTGAGCCCCCCCTCAATGGTGGCTCCGTTTTGGGCACCCCTGCCTATCTCGCTGAGAGAAGGCAGCTGTACTCTCGCATGTTTGCTGAATAAAAGTACAACTTTGCTTCTATGCTTTCTATCTCTATCTGATTCTTCCACAACCTTCTGCATCATCAGGAGAGTCAGGCCTGGGAGTGTGGGGACTCTCCACCTGTCTCCACCCTCGATATTCAATAATGTTGAAAAACCATGCCAAGGAGCAAGAGAAGGTGACTTGAAGTGGTAATGTTTAAATAAGACCTGAAGCATGTGTATTTATGATTCAGGCAAAGTAGTAACAAGGAGAATTAATTTCCAGATAGAACAGACTGCATGTGAATTTTGGGGTATATGCAGATGGAAATGTCATGATGTTACATTGTGTTAGAGCATTCAAGGT